GATCTCAAGAGGAGCCTCAGAGGAACTTTTTTCTTGCCCATCAGTGCCTGGAAGGTAAAAACAGAAAAGAAAAATAAATAGAAATATACATAAAATAAAGTGATATGTGGAGCAATAGATGATCAAGTCGAAATCTTCAAATACTCTGCTAAATCTGTGCCAAATGGATTCCCGTTGTTGCACTTGATGACAATCATGCATGAGTTCTGAACTAAGGTAACAATAACAGATAGTCTTGAAAGCCATAGATTGTACTGATCCCGTTAAGTTGCAAGTAACTCAAAACTCACACTAACAAAGTAGATACGTAAAATGGGTGGGGCTGGCAGACTGGCACGAGAACAGCACAAGTGCCAGCCCAGCCTTGGCATGACACAATTAAGACAGACATGGCACACGTTATTTACCAAGTTTAAGAAAATAAAGACACACACATTGGCCATATAGTGTTAAACTAAGATTAACCTACTTAACTGGCATTAAAAATTAAGTCCATTGAGCATAACACCAACAGTTAAATAAATGGACTTTTTTCTGCCTTTAATACAAAAGCTCAGCTCAGACAGGAAGTTACCTTCTTGATTCCTTTCCCCTTCAGAGATGGGAAAGCTCCCTTTAATTTCTTGGGATTTTTCACTTCTGACATCATTTTCAACCCCACGTTCCACTGCAACCTCTGTGTTATTACATGAACTACTATTCTTTGACAAGGTTTTTGTCCCTAGGGTTGCAAATAGTTTAGACCTCAACATTCTTTCAAGAAGCACAGGATCCTGGGGGCTATCAATAGACATTTTTCTATTTGATTCATCTATTTCCTTTTGCTTGTTTCCAAAATCTGTGTTTTTATGACATAGAACGTTAGGTTGGACTGATTCATTTTCAAATGAAAATCTCGCTTCATCTTCATCTTCATCTGCTGAATTATTTAGTTCATTGGATGGAGAGCAAATTCCATCTGCGCCATTATTTCCCAGAAGAGGCACTGGCTCTGATGTGCTAGAATCTGGTTCACTGCATGGTTCTGTCCCCATGTTTTGTTCGCTTAAATGCTTGTATGATGTGTGGATATGAGCATTGTTAACACATTGGATGTTTGAATCACAAGCCGCTGGGTTACAACCATCATCCTCAGGATGCATCTGATGGCCTGAGGTAGGTATTAGGTCCACATTTTCAGACACGTTATTAGCGAGATCCAACCCAATTCCAGCTTGTTCATTCTGCCTTGAGGACCATATCAAACTGGAATTGTCCATAATAAAAGACCGCAAGTTGGCAGAATATAGTTCTCTTTGACGATATAGATCAGTACACCTAACATTGGCCTGAAGCAGATCCCTCTGTGCTTTACGATAAGCTTTTAGAGCATTTTTTTCTTCAATTTCACACCTTCTCCTATGCTCTTGTGCTTCCTCCAGATCCTTGTCCAGGTTTTCCTCCATTTCAACCAACGAATGTATGTCACCATTTGTTGTGACATTTGCATTACTAAAACAATTCCACAGGCTTGCATTGTTTAGAGATGCCTAAAAAATTAGAAAGAATGAACATTAATATAATTAATAAATAACACAAAAAAAATAAAGCAAAAATATACAACCAGCTGATGTAGTGGATACTAGTGTTCATCCATTATCATGTCTAATCTTAGAATTTATCACTTTGTTATGGCTTTAGTGTTTTTCTTTGATCACTTCACAATCTATCTGGTTTTATTGCCCCTGTAAATAGGCCATCATTTTTACATTTAAGATTCAAATTCATTGATGACTTAAAAGCCTCAGATTTCTCTCTGTTCATTGTCTATTCTTCCCTCCTAGTTTTTCTTCTGTTAGTCCTCTACCGGTTCTACATCACAGACACACCAGAAGCCTCTAACTTTTCCCACTTAGAGACCAGAAAACACACCTGACATATATTGTAGGAGGGATCAAGTTTCTTGTCACTGGCTATGACTTCCTGATGGTCAGCACTCCTCATTAGATTCTTTCCTGATGTTGATTTTTCCAAGAAGGAACCTGGTTCTAGATGGCCACCATCCCCATTTGTATGATTCAACTCCACAGTGTTCTGTAAAGTTAAAATGTACTAATAAACACAATGGGAAACTTTTGAAAATGAAAACACAAGCACCAAAAAAACTTCTCAATAAAGTGTACATCAGTAATCAAGTGTCATATCCAACCCTCAAGCAAATTGATGTTTTTTTTCAAACGAAGTCAGGATGGATTAAGGTTATGCAATATAAACTACGTGAAAGTGCAGATCCCAATTACATGAGGTATCATCTCTTCATGTAAAGTTCGGTGTTTTCTGCAAGCCAGAAATAACTGTTATGGAAACACCTAACACACCAGTTTCATACTATCTAAAAATTTCACGAACCTATTTATGAGACATATTAAGCGCAAACAGCCAAAGATGGCTGCACAAGTTTGATCAATAAAAGGAAATCTTCAATTATGAAAATAATATTAGGGCAGGTGGAGAGGAAATGGTATAGTTCAATCTACAATATCGTATTAAGCTAATCAGCTGTAGTACTGTCGTTACTAAAATATTCACTTACTAAGTTCTTTGGCAAATTATTGCAAGTCATAATTTCTTGTGATGTCCCCTGGTTTAGTGTATCATAAAGATCAACCATCTTACTCCTCCCACTGGACTGGATGCATTTAGTATTGATGCCAGCACCTGCAGAAGAAAACCACCCTGATTGGTGAGGCATCTAACAGTACTAACTAGGGTAAGTTTCAGAAAAAGGAAGTAAGATATTCACCATATTTCACTCCAATAGGAATTTTTTCCGATATACCAGCAACATGTTTATCACTTTGACTTTTCGATTTTACAATGCTTGACTCTGTTGGACCTATTGGAATTCCTTTCTGGCCATGATTGATCTTAACCATCTCCGGTGGATTATTGTTTTCCACTGCTGGGAGTTTAGATGATAAAGTAGATTTTGCAACAGGTATATCTTGTGGGCCAAGTGCACTTAGCTGGGTGGAAAAAGAGCCACCAACTTTCATACGTTTCTTTTCTGGCTCTTTCGGTTCTCTCTCTATTACATCAGAATATCTCGCACTGGATTTACTAGCTTCATGTGTAATTGATTCCTTAGTTCTCTGGGCAGACTTAAGCTTTAGTTCGCTTTCCCGGAGTGCAATCTGCTGCCGCAAGTCCTGAAGTTTACTACTGTTCAAGCCCACACCTTGATCGTATCCACGCTCTCGGCTCACTACATTTTTGTTCATGGAATTAAAATTTCTAACTCGAGATCCTTGATTAACTGATGAAGGCCCAGAATCCCTAGAATTTACTCCGCGGATTTTGGTCATCGATGGGATAAAAGTACGATTCATAGACATTTTTTTGGGCATTACTTTGTCCACATTCCTGGCTGTCTGTCGTAAAATGTTTGATCTGGCAAATGATGAAGTAGGTGGTTTTCCATTGGCTACCACTCCAGTCACATGACTTTTCGTTTCCATGGCTTTTTCTATCCTGTGCTCTTTTTCTCCAGAATCACTGTCATCATCTGAGAAGCGTATCACAAGATCATCGTTGGCGCCCAGAGGGGCACGCCATCCCGGTGTGGCAGATTTTAATGGTATTCGGTTTTTATCACTGATTTTCTGGGAAGTAGGTTGTACGGATGTTTGGGACCGAATATCAGCAGAGCTTGCAAGAACATTTCCACATAGAGCCTTACCTGTTAGATCAACATAAATGCTTGACTCACTTCACCACACAGCACACATCATGAAGAAAATAAATAAACATAAACTATTCAAAGCTCTCAGAGCACCATGAGAGATGCAGAGTTACCAGGAAATATTAGGTGTAATATGGCGGTCTGGTATTTAACCACGTTATTTAAAGGGACAAGATGCCCAAAAATTAAGTGTCCAGCTCGGGTACAAAAAACATGAGGCACCATGAAGTCTGCGTGGGAGTTGCCATCAAGTGCAATAATTCATAGCATCCATGTATTGTTTACAGTGTGTTTTCTTTTAGCCCGCATGACTACAAGTAATTTTAAAATGTTTAAAGCAGGGTATGAAGAAAAATCAGCCTCTGTCAATGCCAATTTGGCACAACTTGGGAGTTGAAATTGGTGCTCTATATGAAACTTCCCAACTTCAAAGGATGTTTAAAAGAAAATAAAAGAGAAGAAAGGACGCATGATCTTTCATTAGCTTGCCAAGCATGACTTACCCTCTTGAGTACCTTGGGTGAACTTGTTCATTGGCGGAACCAGCATGGCCTCTGAAGTAGGTACACTGCTAGCAGTGGAATGTGGAACGGAGCAAACGGTATTTTCCTGTGGGATAGAGAGTGCCGATTTAACACCTTCAACAATATTTTTGCAAAATACTTTGGAGGGGGGATTAAACAATAATAACCCTTGAAAAATCACATAAAATAACAAACATTTTGCTAAAAAAAACAAAGCAGGTGATATCTAAGGCATACCTAAATGCTACAAACAAACTCAGATTTGAAGAAACACTGATTATTGAACATATCACATATTTAACTACATATAAATCGCCACACACACGTAAATAAGGCATACCGAATGGGGGAGTAACTTAGACAGCTGAACTATGAAACAATTGATTAATGGAAACAAAAAGTCAAATACATTAATAGGCAATTGAAGAAGATTAGCACGCAGATAATCTGAGAAGTGATAAAAAAAACTTATTCTCTTTTACCACAAACACCCCAACAGCGCTTAATACATTATAACAATCAAACCTCCACTCAGACACTGGATATCGTAGCATAATGAAACAACAATAAACACTATGCTCCAATCTCAAATTTCACCTCAATTTTAACTCCCAAAGAAATGAACTCACAGGAAGTTCATATAAAACTAACACCCTTACTCAATCTAATACAGCAGGTTAACCTAAATCAAGGGGAACTTCATTCCCTAAAAACCAATCTATCATCAGAAATTGATTCACAACACTTGCAGAAACCAAACAATAACATACGCATATAGATACATATCTATGTATGCATATCATCAAAATGAGTTGGAAACTCCTAGATTCAACAATGAATTGGAACAAATCGATATAAAACTATTGCAAACGAGCTAGGGTTTGGGAAGATGGAAAATACGTCGTCATCGTCGGAAGACAGCTCGCCTTCTTCCCTGATTTTGGCAGGATGGGGAGAGAGCTCCGAGTTAGGGCTCTTGTTCGGAGGCTCTGGTGCCGTCTGCATCGCTTCGTCCTCCATTGTTGACTCTACCGCACAGAGACGAGAGCGCGCAGCACACTTTCTAGTTTCAGGCAGTAATTTCGTCGAGCATTTTTGGGGCTATGCAATAGAGGGCTTAGAAGAGTCAATAAGGTAGGGAAAGGAAAGTGTTTGGGGGCTACGCAATATATATGTGAATGTGAATGGGGTCAAGTTTTTGCTGACTCGTGTTGTGGTGTGTGTGGAGAATGGAGAGACGGTTTGATTGAGGGTGTACGGACACAGAGTGTGACGAAAGCACGACGTGAATTCGCGATGAGGTGGAGTAGGTGGTTATTATTCCCACTTGCAAAAAAAATATCCCTCGTCTCACTCTCGTTCCTTTTACGTGTCGTTTTGGGCTTGTGTAAAATAAAAACACTTGTTTATAACGTTTTTGTTATAAATTACAATCGCTCAATGTTTACTAATTCATAATCGGGTGAACATGAATAAAATTGATGCAAAGAGTTAGAATCAAAATTTCCAATGTATGAGTAGTACGGATTCCTTATAATTTGTTTACTAAATTACCATGAATCGGAATTTAAACCAATTTGATTACCATGAATCGGAAGCTAAAAGAAACCTTGCTGAGGATTCGGCCTGTACTGTCTGTGACTATCCTGCTGAGTCTATTTTGCACATTTTTCGTGACTGTAACCGAGCCAGAGATGTCTGGAAGGATCTGCTGACCTCTCTTCCCAACTCTTCTTTCTTTCAGATGGACTTCAAACCTTGGCTCAAGGCTAATTTAATGTCAAAGATTAAGTGGCAGGCTGATATCCCTTGGTTTTTGGTGTTTGTTGCTACTTGTTGGCATTTGTGGAAGTGGAGGAACAAATTTATTTTTCAACCTGAGGAGGAGGTGCGTGTTAATCACAGACACGACATCTTGGTTGCTGCCCATGAATGGTTCATGGCCTCTAAAAATTTGCATAAAGCCAGTGCTAAGATCCAGGTTCCCCTAGCTTGGGTGCCACCTAGTCCTGGGCAGTATAAGCTGAATGTGGATGGAACCAGGAAAAGTGCTTCTGGATGCATTGGTGCGGGGGGAGTTATTCGTGATTCCTTTGGGGATTGGACTTGTGGGTTTGCTGCTAACTTGGGCAGAGGTCAGATCCTTGAGGCTGAAATGTGGGGCTTGTTTTTTGGGTTAAAGCTTGCTAAGGACAGAGGCATTTGCAATCTGTTGGTGGAAATGGACTCTGCAGTGGCTGTTAAGTTAGTGAAGAATTCTACTACTCTTGGTTTACATCCTGTGGCTTCTTTGGCTTCTTGTTGCTGGGAGCTCATGGGAAAGTTTGAGACTTGTGCGCTCCAACACATTTATAGAGAAAGAAATGTGGTTGCTGACTGTATTGCGCAATGGAGCTACAATATGGACTTAGGTGTTTGCCTTTTTGATATGGCCCCTAGTTGGGTTGGTGCTAGCCTTGTTGATGATCTGACTGGAGTCACTAGGACTCGGCTAGTCTGTAGTGAGTAGTTGCTGTTTGTCTTTGGGGTTCTACCCCCCCAGTTCACACCAAAAAAAAAAAAGTAAATGGCAAATTTGAATTTTTAAAATGGTGTGAGGATATAATGGTTTAAAAAGATGGATTTTGATGGGTTAGTTCTCCATGAATTAGACACCTCCCACCAAGAGTCTAATATCTCCAAAACTAGGAGATGAATTCTTGATTTTGTGTGGGCCCCACTTGCATTTCATTCATTAATGTGACATACGAGTAATCTATAATCTGGATCAAACTCCTTATTTGAATTCCTATTACGGATTCGTAAACATGTCGTAAGTATTTTTAACTTTTTATGCCAAACACAGTTAAAAACACTTTTGATGATTTGTAATGGGTAAAAAATAATTCAATCTTAAAGCGGTTTAGCCCATCAGAAGCATTTACTTCAGTTGACACGCACACCTAAATTTAAGAGAAAACTTACACAACACAAGTTCATATCGAGTGATAAAAGAAACAACGTGAGTAAATTTCATAAACTCGTTCACATTTAATGACAAGGAGGTTAAATGTATACATGCATTAACGACGAGGAGGTAAATGAATGTTGTTCCAATTGTTCAAGAGGAACTAGCGGATCATTTCTAACAGTCACACCGTCATGTAGTATTACTAATCCATGTATTATAACATAAGTGGATGCCATAGTTAATATGTTATGGACTTAGGATTTAGTGTTAACGAATAGATGCATGTGTTATAACATGAATGGAGTAGTAAAAATCATGTGGAAGTGTGATTGTGACACTGAAAAATTACTCATATATATCCAGTCACAAAGCTCAAAGGCATGTAGAAATAGAAGACCAAAATTAATGAGGATGTTAATATAACATAAGAACCATATGAATATATATTAGCATTGGTGTGGTCATCTTTCATTTTATTTATTTTTACAAGTAAAGAGGAGGTACAAGTTGCCAATACAATTACAGAGATTACATATATATAGCAAAAGCCGTAGCTAGTTAGCTATATATGTATGCATACATAATTAATTAGAACCTAGAGAGAAATTGCATTTGCTTGAGAAGAGGAGTAAGGGTTTCCATCAGCTTCTCGCATGGATGATTGTGAACTCCTTCATAAGTTGTAACGACGATGCTTGTGTCCTTTGATAGCCTCTGAACCTGCTTTTTCACACTGCATGTGTGGTGCGTGCATCGATAGTAGCTCCTATATATGAAAAATATTTGATATTGAAGTGAGAATCAAAGCAATATCTATTTTATTTGTGCTGTGTCTTCCAAGAACAAATTATAATATATAGCACTTAAATCAATGAATAACCTGGGATACAAGCTGTTCTTGACGGCTTTCTGCCCATATTTTCTCCAGCGGTAGCCATCATCAAGAATGTCATCGGCACTCCGAGTCTGGAAGGCAAACCTAGGCCTGCTCGCTTTTTTCATCACACTAATTTTCCTACCCTCACCACCTTTCCTTTTATTGCTACCTCTTTCTTCCCGAGCAGCTTCAATAACATTATTTTCATTATTATTAACTTCCACCATAGCAGCAGGCTCATTATTATTAATCTGATGATCATGATGACCAGAGAGAAGGCTGATCCAGTCAATGTCTGGAACCTGGGCTTGCTGATCATGATGAGGCTCTGGAAAAGGAGGAGGGTTCATTGAGGTTGGGGATGATGGGAAAAGGTAGGAAGGGTTTTGAGGTGGCAATAATGCTAGTGATGACGATGTTGATGGAGGTGGATAATACTGTGCTTGATGACCTTCCATCACTGCTGGTGCTTATATAAATGATGTGTATGAGAGAGAGAGAGAGAGAGAGAGAGAGAGAGAGAGAGAGAGAGAGAGAGAGATGGCTTGTTGCTTACTGCATGTACTAGAGAGTTGAAAACTTGAAACTAATTGAAAAGAGAAGGCTAAGCTGTAGTGTTGATCATCAATTTTTACTCCCTATGAGGGGTAAAGCCAGCCAACTACATCTCAACTACTTCTGTTGAACTGCCCTTTCAATCCAAATGAGAGAGAGAGAGAGAGAGAGAGAGAGAGACGTGCCTCATCATACATATCGTTATCATCAATGCATGCATTTGCATGGTCTTCATCCATCTCTCTCTCTCTCTCTCTCTCTCTCTCCCCTGAACGAGAACAAGAATCTTGATATAGGTATTTCCTTAGTTCAATTCATATATATGGAACTTTAATTAGCACACATGATCAAGAATCAAATTGCTCTACAGAATTTAGTTTTGTTGATTAGATACTGCTATACCAACCAAAAAAGGGACCCAAGAGGATAAGGTCGATCTTGACCATTCAGGTCACTTTTGCCAGCTTTCCATTTCAATTATAAATGAGAAATGAGAAATTAAACCCACCCTTCTCACTACTTAAAACATCCTTTTTATACTGGTCTTTGATTTAACATGGAGAGCTTTCAGGTTTGCAGATTGCTTGGAGACAAGAATAACAAGAAGAATGTTTTTATTACAGATTCAAGTTATTGCGAATTTTCTAGGCCTTGTGGGGCAACAAGCAAACCATCTGATTTTTATTAATCTAAAAACTATCCTAATTCGGAGTAGAGAGAACAAAAAGCTAAACCCTTTTAGCTCATAATTTTTCAAGCCTGATGTGGGGTCGGGAACCAGTATCCTAATTCGGTCACCTAGATGGGTTTTTCAAGCCTTACATGACGAAGGACACCCAAGCCAATCTGATATCAAGTATGGTTGGATATACACATTTTTGCATAATGAACGTACAAGAGATGGAGTTAATTAGAAAATGTACATATAATCGTGAACCAAGAACCCAATTGCTCTACCGCCTCAAATCTTTGAGATATTTGCTAAGTTGATTGTTGAAACTCATAAGATAATGCCAATGCACATTTCTCTCTTGGTTTACTAATTTCCTGCAGTAAATAATGGGGGAAGGAAAGAAAATGCCTACCGGAAAACAGAAGGGCAAACGCTTAAATCTGCATAAAGTAGCCAAGTAGTGCTTTAAATGACGACTTTTAACCATTGGCGTCGGGTTTTTCTCTTAAGCGACGAATTCTCTAAGCTATCGTGACGAAAATAAGGTACTCAGACTAGAAAAAGTAATTAGCGACGCTTTTTACCGTCGCCAACCGTTGTAAATAAAGTTTTCGTTGACGGTTTGTGAAACCGCCGCTAAAAGTGGTCATATTAGAAACAATTTACATCTCCATTATGCTTATAGTGGTTTTTTTTCCTTAAAATTTTAGTTTTAGGAATCTCCCATTATTCGAAAAGGCACACCGTCTCTTATATGGGTCGCGTTCATAAATAAATATTTCACTAAAGTTTCTTTTTAAATGAAAATATTGTGCAGATATGAATAGCTTCGATGCAATAGTGAAACTATCCATAAATTCAAGCGTTGGGCCTAGCTTTAGTCACCAAAAGCAGGAACGAACACACAGAAAATATCAATTGGCACCTACAGCCTAAGATTTTCTGTGTTAGCTTCAACTCTTCAACCAACAGTCGGTATTCTTGCTTCAACTGAATTGCAAAAACTTTATGCAAGAACAAAATGCGTGTTGGATCAGCTGATGATCATCTTATTAAGGAACTCAGCTTTCTCAGGAAAATACTCCAGCAGTTCATCCTTGGTCACCCAAACAAAATCCTCACACTTCTTAATGTTGAACTTGTTGGTTGCAATCACTTGAGACTTGAAAAAGAATTGCTGAAAAGGAGAAACCAAATGTCAAATTGTGATCAATCTTTACTATTTGATAAAAGGAATCATACGGAGCACCAATATACGTTTCGATATTTATCGGCTGACGCCAGTGGAAGAAAAAAAAAACGATTTACAAAAGCATACCTTAACAGATGGAGAGTCTGGCACATCCTCTGTTGACTCTGTAGCCATATGGCCCATGGGAGCATTTCCAACAAAATATGTGTGTGACAGATCTCCCAAGATAGATTTTAATGCAGATTCTGCACACTGAAAATACATGGGATTAATGTGACCGAGCACTGAAAATACATGGGATTAATGTGACCTAGGAAAAGAAAAAGAAAATACACAGGATTTAAGGAGAGAGAGGTGTACAACATCATATAGCAACCATCACCTTCCGCAATGTCTCTTCAGACTGGTAAACCTTTTCTGGAAAATGCCAGACTGACTTCCCAGCAGATCCATCCGTGTTTCCATAGAGAAGAAGATATAATCTTCTGTCAAGTGCTCTTTGCAATGACCTAAAGAACAAGAAAATCAACTTTTAACATTCAGGACCTTATTTTTTGTGCTTCTCACATATAGGACAGGTATTTCTCAAGAAAATGTCAGTTTCAAAATCCATCCACATACGGTTATTATATTAAGGACCTAATGAGTTGTTAATTTTTTCTTCTTTTCTCTCAGCAAAAGAAGTTTAACTAGCTACTACCAGAAATATCTAATCGATCTGATAACTCCAAGTCACAAGCATACATGACATTTTGAAGTTCCTCATTTAAACCTAAATAAAGCCATATTTTATTAATCCAAAAAGGAAGAACAGTCAGGCATCAACAAAGAAAGTTAGAAAGAACAGGCAATTAAGTATTGACAAAACCAAACAATCAATAAAAATCAGTCAAATGTCCAACCACTAGCAGTAAAGGACAATTGTATGTCTTCTAACTTCCAAGAAGATATAGAAATGGTTTTAAAATAATATGAACAATGAAGATCCCACAACTTTCTAAGCAATAAGAAATTCAGGTACTCCTGAACTTGAAATAAAATTGAAAGATTTTTTTTTTCTTTTAAGTAAGAAGAAAAGCAGGATTCTTATATAACCATCATCAGAATTAGATTCCATACTTTCTATCATTCATTTTGTCAGCTTCAGTGATCCGCGGAGCAGGTACATAATCAATATGGTAGTCACCCTTTCCCCTGTTCACCAAAAGTAAGTGTCATGCTAGAGTGATAACTTTTATTTGCAATTGTCTTCTGAGCAGCAAACGTGAGTAAGGCTTATACAAAAGACCAAAAAAATTGCATATAAACTTTACTTTGATAGGATAGATTGGTGCATATATACTTTTGGTACTGCCTATAAAATCTGAACATAATGAATGAAATGGAATGTGCTTTTGTAATGGTGGTTTTGTAGACTAACCAATGCCAATCAGAATATAAAGTTTTTCGTTCTTTATCATGCCTTAATTCATTACAATTATTCTTGTATTGATGCACCTCTTCCAAACATGTACTAAACCTCATCTTTCCTCATCCTAGTATCAACATCATCCCTTTTCAGAACTCTGAAACGCATAAAACAGAGTCCAGAAGGATGCTTGCAAGACTTTCATTGTTGAAAGAAATAAAACAGTGTCCACTATGTTTAAAGAATGCATATCAACATCTAAAAAAACCTTCAATTATTAAAAATTACTCAAGGAGTTGGAGCCATTGAAATTGAGATAGTTTGACATAACAATGGACAGAATATGTCTCAATAAATGTTGGAAATCTAGGGACATTCCAATCAGCACACAGATCTGAGATTGAGATATTTAGTTAAATTGGCAAATATACTCAAGAGTAAACTTTAGTGGTGAATGCATCCTACGGTTTAAATTTAGTGAATAGAACAGAAGTGAAGCGCCGTTATGTGTTTCCTACAGTAGAAGTCAAAAGAAGCACCAACATTATATTTGTTTTCATTAATGTGAACATGCGATGAAGTCTATAACAACATAAACTCAGATGAACCAGTTAAGCTTTAAAACAAACCTTACCTAGCATTAGACTTATCTAAAAGCTCATCTGGATATATGCGCCGATATTGCTGTCGCCACCGAAATCTAAAATCCAAGGGGGGAAATAAGCCAATATGAGCTACTCAACACAAATTCACATAATTATTTAGTTAAACCAAAATTTTGCAAATTTAGGTACTCTTGTCAGCAACTATGACCATAGCACGCCAAGAAACTCTCTGTATTTTTTTCTTTCAAAAAGCAGTCATCTAACCAAAAAACTAAAATGGCTGTCATCAGTCACTTGCCCAGAGTCTCAAGCAGAGGAATTGAAAGAATTAAACTTATTTACGAGTGATCATAACAATGTTTAGTCCCATCTTTCCAAAATGTAAACCTGAGCTCAGTCCATCTCAAATCCGCTAGACCATATAGTTTCTAACATAAAAAGTAACTAAACCTTCAGTTTTTTTTCTCTCATTTCTTTCCCACAACTTCCTCTGCAACAAAGCCCTGTCGTAGTTTCCCATTTACGTCTGAGTTCATTTTCCCCGCATTTTCTGAGCAACCAAACAGAAAGAAAACGAGGAAGAAAAACAGAGAGGGATTAAAGAGCGAACTTACGCGAACTCCTGATAAGCATAAACGACGGGGTCGATTTTGGGAATGACAACAGGCAACCTCTCGAACAGTACGGACGCGACTATTTTCTCGGAAGAAGACGAGCTCGTGGAAAACCCTCGTTCTCTGACCAGAGGCCCACGCAAAATCGTAATCGTTCTCTGCATTTCTGGATCTCCAACGACAAGAATCAAAGTGGAGATTTTTGGCAAAAGCCCTTTCTAAAACCCTAAATCAGGCTCAGTATAGTCTAGTGTTACCTGATCTGAAAATGGTCCTCTTACTGCTACTATTTACAAATAATAGCCATTACAAAAAAAATAATTACCGCTTTTTGCTTGTGATCGACACGTGTCCCATTTCTGGCTGCATTTCACGAAACATGCGTGCCTCTGAAGACAACAATTGTTAACCGCCTTTGGCTGGCCATATACATTTTTGGCTCCCATTAAACCACTCTTTCAGTGGAGTGAGCTTTGCAAATGCAAAACCCCTTCACTGTCCGTACTGTCACTGTCCTCGCGAAACCTCAACTCTCAGCGTTTACCGAAAATGCCCCGGGGTCTGGACATGTCACTTGACGACCTCATTGCGAAAAGGAAGAAACCCGGAGGGTATCATGGTTATTTCAGAGGCCGTGGCCGTGGCTACGGCCCGGGCCCAACTCGTCGGCTCATGAACCGCAACACCGTCAGAACGGCGCCGTACTCTGCTCAACCGGTGTGCTACGGTTTCTCTTTTCCTGCATTTTCAAGTTTGATGAGTTTTTAGTCTATTGTTTGGTTGTTGCTAAGAATAAGCATGGAAAAAGAAATTAAATAAAATACTATATATTTATATTTATGCTGCAAATTATTTTTTTGAAAGAAAGAACCAGGGAAGTAAATTTTCTAAGATTTGTTTTGAGTGTTTAAATTTTCTACGCCACGTAAATTCTTCAAGTTACATTTTCTCGGGAACCAAACAAGCATTTGGCTCTGTTATGTATGAGGTTTTTGTTGTGTGTTTTTAATGTGGGTTGCAGATTATGCAAGTGGTGAGAACAACCGTTGAGCAAGAAATGGTAGTGAGCGGAGGCACATACACAGAGGAGGGCACCAAATTATACCTATCTAACTTAGACTATGATGTTTCTAACAGCGATATTGAGGTAGTTCTTTTTAGTTTTTAATTCATTTCTATTATATGCTTTCTTTGTTTGTGTCGTATATAACGTGTTGAGGTTTGGTGAAATTTCTATGTGGGTAAGGAGGGCACCACTATGACAAACTGGAGTTATCACCGAAAAAAAAACGAAAAATAGAAGAAAACAGAGCTGTATATATGGTTATGTGGTTGACTTCCAGATTCTGAGATGGGGGTTGCAGGTGTGCGGTGTGTATATATATATATATATATGGTCACTATACTACTGTGACCCTGAATCTCCGTCTGGGGTTTGTTTGAAATGGGGTCTGTCTTTTGATAGTCTTTGTAATCTATGTAGGATTGGAGGTGGAGTGCTCAATGAGCAAGAAAAGTTCTCCTGGAACCAAGATTGAGAATGTGTCATTTCATGCCTCCTGTATCTAATGATTTTTTGGGATATGCACTGAATTCTTCCAATCTAGTGTTATTAGGATGGGCATACTGGAGATAAATAATTGAACTTGTGTGTTTTGTGGCAGCATTTGAAAAACGAAGTATATTGATTTTCAACACTAGTCTGTATTAATTTCTTTTATTTCTTTGTTTTTTGCTTGTATACATGGAAATGTGCATGCATGGTGTTTATAGGGTATGGTTCTGCAGTTGCTAATAATACATAGGATGCTGCTCAGTCCTCAATGGATGTTTCTTCATTTTTCTTACTGTTGTTAGGCTAGGACTTCTGCATGACAATTGTTACATCAGCACCCATCTTATGTTTTAAACTTAATCTTCTTTGGACGTTATATATGTATCCACAACTTGTTGGAAATTAAGTGGAAAAGTTAATTACTACAATGCAACCTGGCAGTTGCTCTTCTCTGAGATTGGTCACGTGAAACGACATACAGTCCATTATGATAGGAGCGGAAGATCAAAGGTATGTTTCCTGTTGTACATCAGTAGATTGTTTAAAAGAACATGTTGCCTTTTGGTGGCTTAGAAGGTTTGCTTATATTTAGGGAACAGCGGAAGTCATCTTTGTACACCATTCAGATGCTCTTGCAGCAATTGAGAAATACAACAATGTTCAGCTTGATGGAAAGCCAATGAAAATTGAGCTTGTAGGAGTGAATCCTGTTGCTCCTATTTCTGTGCCTCCAAGTACAAGAAGCATTCCGGGAAAACCAAACTTTGTCTTCCAAAGGTATATAGTTTCTCTCTCTCTTTTGGGTTTGAAACTATATTCGTATACTGTGTATCACTGTCAATTGGGCCTAGCTAAATTTTTGGGCAACTTGTGTCACATGCTTGAAAGTGCAGTCTAATACCGTTGAAGAATCCTGTTAAAACGGTTCTCATTTGATAAGAGTTATGTTGAATAGAACTTCGCTAGCTAATGTCTCTTCACAATTTTTTTGCACTCTTAGACCTGCATTTGGTTGGTTACACTCGAAAATGGCACTATTAGGGAAAGGGATTCCAATAATCTTTCAACGTATTTTTTGTCATGTTCTTGGGCAGTGGCCGAGGAAGAGCTAGTGCCAGGGGATTGTTTCATGGCCGTGGTGCTGGTGGGTTTCGACTTGCAAGGGGTGGTGGACAGGTGAAGAAGCCTAGTGGGAAGGTGAAGAAGCCTCGTGAGAAGGTAACTGCAGAAGATCTGGACGCTGACTTGGAGAACTACCGCCTAAAAGCTATGCAGATATGAATTGCTCACACTGGTAGTTTAGGGGGTTAAGTCACAAACTGGCAATATACATATATGGAGCATTACCGATTTACTAGAATTACTTGCTCCTTTGAATCTATCTTACATCATTAGTAAGTTCCAAGAGTTGTAACAGAAAACAAAAGATACATGTTTGTGCATGGACACCACTGATAGATTTTTCGGCCGTTGTTGGCCAGCAAAATACTTCTTCCTGCCTTCCGCTGCGATCGTCCGAAAAGTATTTATATCATATGGTTGATCATTTCTATCGGCTTATGTTATGGTTCACTCATTTGTTATAAGTTTATTTTTAAAGCATCCTTAATGATTTTATGTTGGAAGCATTTCTATTCAATTTGGGTCAATACGAATGCTACATTTTACTTTACATGATTTGATGAAATTAAATTACATCAACACGTCAAGCGGAGTATGATCGGATATTTTTAAGGTGCAAAAGCAGGGGCGTAGTGATGTAGGCCTTGGCCCCTAAGTTTTTGCTTTTGTGATTAGCAATTGAAATATGGCACTGGGTTTGTGTACCCCTTCACACACACACACGCACGCATAATTGTCAAATATAGAAATCATTCAGCAAGGTTCAAGTGAAGGAATAAATAAAAACCAATCATACTTCTCTCAGAAATCAATCGCTTGGATGTCATACATGAAAAACAAAATTTCTCAACAGCCATGCCAAAAAGCTAAATTTCTCTACAGCCATTTTACAACAATCATCAATTAGTCGAAGGAAACAAAGGGGAAAAAAATCACATATTTACAATGTCAAAAATAAACCTGAATATCCAAAAATCATAGCAGGCACATTTTAGGATGCCCTGAAAAAACAGACACCCAGTAATGCCCCTAATAATGGAATTCGAGGGCCTAGCATCCAATCTTACCCTCTAATACCTTGGTATCCAGTCCACTAGACATACAAAGATCGATTCTCTTCTCGTTGCTGTCGGGTTGATGGAACCTCTATGAGTTAACAAATGTAAAAAGAAAAAAAAAATTATTACCCATGTACGCCTTTCATAAAAGCCAGCATCAAGATCGCCTTCAGGAATTACAAAAACATAATGAAGGCTTTGAGGAAATGGAAATCTTGATTCTGTACAGTATATTTTCCAAAAGTTTCCCATAAGGTCTCTTGGCATCGTAATGCACACTAACTGCACTGCATTCACACACAAAATATATATTTAAAAAAAAACTTCAGCATAATGTCATGATCATGCTACAAATAATAACAATCATAATGAGTTCACAAAAATTAATGGTTACGAAACAGAAAATAATCAGATTATTTCCATGCGTACATGTAACAAGTTGAACCTAGATAGAAACAAATTTAATGGGTCCAACTAGAGCCAATAGTTCAAATAAATAATAATGCATGTATATATTGACGCAGTTGCATATATACCAGCAATAAGATAGAAGCCAGAAAACTGGTGTTCGGAAATACAATGATAACATAAATGGACCACTTTTATTAGCATTGAAGATAGGTGGCAGTACCTGGTGATATGCCTACATGTTAGGCCCATGAATCGCAATGTCCAATGGCAGAACGAAAGGCAGAAGAAAAATTAAGCATTTCCAAAATTTTCTTGAACGACTTGCGCTCTTCGTAACTTCTTTTCTTACGAGTCCCCAGTCATAATCCTTCAGCTGAACATGAACTTCATATATTTTACAAAACAAAGGCGCCCCCCAACAATTGACTACATAATTGTACAATATGGAGAGGAAGATTTGAGAAGTAGATATCAATCTGTCTCAGCATTTTCTAATAATCTGAGAAAGACAACCACAAGGCACTGATTGCTGATGTTGGAGCATTGTGTCCTGTAGGAAAGACTTTCCAGCATTATCCAAAAAGTGAATACATCTCCTACCCTCTGTCTTTACTATTTTTTGTCAGAACTGCAAAATTTTGTCTTCAACTCCATTTCTTAGCCACTTGAAGTACCTTCAGAAATCATATTCCGAAGAGTTTCATGTATGCTTACAAAATTAAGCTTATCCCAGTTGAAGAATAGCATAAGCATCATAGAGGTGGGACAAAGCTCTGTGCTTGGAAGCACTCTTCTACAAGTCAAGGGCAACATCTACAAATCTGCATCACCAGATTACAACTCAGTTCCAAGATCGTTCGCCAGCTGCAGTATTCCACGCATATGAAGATATGGATTTTCCAACAGCTTTTCATTGTTGCTCTGCACAGAGCAAACACGGCAGTGAGATGTGACTATCCAGTCCCAAAACTATCAGTGCTAAATTAAAGTAATTGAAAGACAACCCAGATTTCAAAGCAAATTTTTTATTTTTTTTTAAAGGGTAGAAAGAGGGCCAATAAGAAAACAATAAGTTTACAAGGAATTGGAATGCAGCTCTTCTTACAAGTATTTATAAACGATGATTTACATCTTTTTCAACTGTACTTCTGACATGTGTAGGCAATAAGTTACCTTGTAACAATCTCCTCTACTAGCAGTTACAAATTAGCCAACCATGTTAATCAGCAATACAAACACAAATACAAGGATGAGTAATTCACTAGAAATAATCTCCCTATACGGGATAAGGAAAGGCTGGTTTTGGAATAATAACGAATGTTTCTGGCTCTTCTTACAAGGAATAGGAATCCAATGGTTGAATGCTATATTAGTTGCTTATCAGGATGCCTAATACTATCATACTTCCCAACAGTGTTTTCTAGTCAAACATAATTTTCCAATATGATATTGCTCCTATAAAGAAAACGAGTTCATACACTTCAATGTTTCTTTGTCAGGATTTGTATATTTCGAACACCATATCAAAATCAAAGGTGTGACAAAAGAATAATTCAATGCAAAAAAGATGACATTATCTTTTTCAGGAATCATATATGAAAATGTGCGATGGCATGCAACGCATTAAAAACAAGGCCCACCTGCTGAGCTCTAACGACAAGATTCTGAAGCATGTGTTGGTACTTTTCAGGTTTTTCTGTCATCATCCGCTGTAAAATACCAAATTAAATATGTTAGCAGGGTAAATTTCATCACATACTCAGTACATTGTACTTTGTTGGGAGGGAGAAACAGCATTCTTGCCTTCAGAAGAAAAGCTGAAGAGTAATATGCCACCCTCGAGTCTGTATCATCCAAGAGTACCCTGAATTTATGTTTTAAAAGTAATTACATATCAAATCACACACACAAAAAGGAAAAAATAACAAGATCATGCAATGGTAGCATTAGCATAGAATTTCAGAATCACCTAAAAAATTGTTCCCCACCAACATCCTGGAAAGCAGCAGGATCTGCAGTACATTTACCAATTAGAAGTAACAGAAGGGTAGCTCGTATGTCAGATGTGGCACCAGGAAGGTTCCCTCTTCCTTCGCTTCCAACAGCTATACCCAATGCAATGTTGTCCGTTGCTGCACCAGCAAGTTGAATCAATGGCCAATAGAACAAAGCAGCTGGAACACGTGTAACCAATTGCATGGGAACTATGGCATGTCCTCGAAGAAGCAGTGCTGCCATTGATTCTGTCTCATGATCAAGACGATTGTTATTACTGTGGACAGGTCTGCCACTGGCTTCTTCCATACGGACATCCTGGTCAGAATTTTCTTTCTCATCAACTTTTTTATTTCCCTCCATGGAACTAAGAACCCTACCAAGCTGTGAATCATCTCCAAACTCTGTTGCATTTGCTAGAGGAACTCTCAAGCACAATTGAGAGAATAGGATGTCACACATCTGTTTAAAAAAACCAGCAAAAATAGGAGATAAGGGAGACAGACTAATCTATGCTAATCAAAAGTTGCACAATGGAATTTCATTACATCATGAAACATACACAATGCCTTAGGGGAAAATAAAAATGGACTCTGCATCAGCCCAAAGCAAATTCTCCAATATTGTTGAGGAAAACAGATTTGCTCTAGATGAACTAAATTTGATTTTTCATCTCTTTTCTCTTACATTAAAGCATATCAGTCAGAATTCCAAGCCAGTAAATCTTTTTTATAAGAATATACTTTGTTATGATGCCAAGCCTTATCAACATTATACTAATAAGGTCTAGCATTAAGGGCAAGAAACATTCAACATATAACTAATACGATTATACGCAAACAAACATTTTACATTCTCATTTGACCCAGCAGCAAAATAATTAGAGAAGTACTTCACAGTCCCCACAATGCCATCTGTTAAACTATTCGAGAAGTGGTACACCTTATGTGTTCCCAAACATTCAAATTCAAAGGTAGCATTCATAGACAAAAGGTTAAAAACAATTTAATCAAAGCATATGCATTTAGGTCGGTTGCCTCTTCCTGCTTTTGCATTATATGCATCTCTAGGACCTGAAGACCATCTGTAACATCTAGTGAAGACATTTTCTAGTTCTTAAATAATTACCTTCAATATATTGATGCGATCTGTTTCGTTTATCTGAAAAACCAAGGACAAGGCACTACTCATGATGTCTATCACTGCATTAGCTTTCTCAAGACGGCTATCTTTGCGTATATTGCCAATATCACTTCCAAGTGATTGCTGGATTTTATTTTCATTTAACAAAATTTTACACCTCATGAGAAGCCTTTCAAGAACATACAAAAAGCCCCATCTGATTGAGTTGTGCTTTGACTTCAAAAGCCCACACATAAGCCAAATGGGCAAAGGAACATCGGAAGCAACTGCAGAATCATGAACACCAGCATGGGCAATTTTCTGCTGCATGCTTTTGATATTTGACCATATGCTTGTATTCCTTTCCTCACTAATTTCTGCAATAAGCAGGTCACTTAACCAGACATACCCATTCCGATGGTAAGTAGTTCTTTCTGAATGAAGAAGGGAATGTAAAATGGCCCATGAGAGCTTTGCTTTCATGCCAGCACCATTTCTCAGAACAGCCCCTTCAATGCTATCCAGAGACTTGTAAGATTTGGTTATCTGCATCATATGTGAGAACTCCGTGTCCAAATGAGTAAATGAACTTATTGTTGCACCAAGTTTGTCCATCACACTGTCCAACAGCTGTAGAGTAAAAGTAAATTTTATTTAGATAGCAGCAACTTTGATAAATTGTTGTAACTAATTGACTTGTCCAATAAGAAATGAAAATATATAACAAAAAATAACTGTCCAACAATTTATGAAACTGGTGAAATATCTCAGTAAAGCATCAAAGTGCAAATAAAACATAACATGTGATACTCCACAACAGCTCATCAGCCAGCCCACCACTATCCATGCCAACAGTAGGATAGCAAATAGGAATTAAAAAACCCAAAGTGGAGGAGCTGGGTTGTAGTTCAACCTAATCAACTTAATAATTGGTAATCTTACTTTTCAAGTATTCAAGTGAGTAGCTTTGAAGGCTCCAGCTCCTCTCTTTCCAAATAAAATAGAGAGCGCTGGTTAGACTTGAATGGCTAAGTCCATGTACCTACACGGGGCCCACTCTGAATGCAGGAGACTGCACCATAGAAAGTCCAAATCAAACAACCAGTCCACCCACTTGCAGTACCAAGGGAAGGGAGCCTTTTCCAGCTCTGGAAATAATGAGAACAAATACACCTACAGGCTACAGAGATTTTGGATTTGAAAGATCAAGTTCAACTAAAGCCTATATGAAATTGATTACACAATCACTTTATAAGTACATAACTATAGACAATTGACTCTGGACACAGGTACTGTTTTGTACAATTTGATACTAGTCAAGAACTTCACAGAAACCTAATTTGTATAAATCATATCAGAAATTTATACAGGGTACACACCACATGCAAAAAGGATAGAATTGTTAATGCATGACATGAAGTTCTGGAGTCTTTCTGAGAGGAAGGGACTAAGATATCTGATAGGCTTTTGCTATAGCAAGGCCATGCACAACGACTGCATTTAAGAGTAAGTTTGCCTAATGCCCAGATTAGACTCAATATGAAGTTCTGGAGTCTTTCTGAGAGTGAGAGACTAAGATATCTGATAGGCTTTTGCTACAGCAAGGCCATGCACAACGACTGCATTTAACAGTAAGGTTGTCCAATGCCCAGATCAGACTCATGGCCACATATATTACATACAGACTTATCTATTCTAGAAAAAAGATAAAGTCAACCCGATAAAAAATAAAGAGAAAAAAAAGGGAACCAATCTCAAAGTCACCTTTTCTTAAGATGAGAACGAACCTCAAGGCACATTTTCAGAATACGAGAACCAAAGTGAAGGTTAGATTAACAAAATGCAGCATTGAATTTGCATACAGTATAGTTTGAACTCTTGAAAGAGTAACCATGAGAGATAAAAAAGAAGAAGCATAGCATACCCACACACCGCATGCGCAAACACAATCTTGAGAACAAACAAACAGAACATAAATGCACATTGACTCACACCAACCCAACACACTAACTTTTGAGACATTACCATATTTAGCCGTTCACTGTTTGGATATCTAGACAATGCATCAGAAATAGAACTCCTCAAAATTTCCCCGATGCCTACCAACCCAAGCTTAACAGATATATAAAAAGCTTCGGGCGCATCAGCCAGATTGAGCAGGGCAACAAGAGGCTGAATCTCATCATCACTATACTCAGTGACTCCGGTAGCTATGCATATTTCATTTATTTGATGCAAGGCATGGTCAAAAAGCACCAAAAAGAGATTTCTCCTTTCCTCCCTTGATTTTGCAAGTGAATACTGCATTGCAAAGAATTATTGCTTGGAATCAGATAAATTTTGTGGTAGAAAGAAACCATTTTTACTAAGCATGCAAAAACTTTTATAGATTAGTTCCCTAAATCATGACCATAAGAAATAACATTTAGGTAAAGCTTATCTCAAATAACAGGACTATTGCCATCGTCCATAGGGACACGATATTTGAGTATGCATGTACATCGTCTCCGAAAGTGATTTTTACACATTTAGATTATTAAAATTGCTTTCACATCCCCAGAGAATAAGGATAAGCACTTACAACTTGTGACAACATCAGGCAAATGCTTTACAACTCACAGACAATAAAAGGATTGTGATTACCAGGGGTCTTAGCTAAATGCTAGGAATCAACTAACTACTTATTTCTTTATTTCTAATCAAGCTAATCTTACTTCTTTTTCTTTTCTTTTTGTTTCAGTTTCACTATAAATTATTACCATACCTCAAGAAAAATAAACTCTATTCCACCAATCAGATCAACTTGCTCCACCAGAAACAATTGGGTACTTGAAACAGCCTTGTTGGTTCCTTCAGGTACTTGATAAAACATGTTTGCTAACATGCTAATAAGCTTGCAATGAACTACTTCGGCCCAAGAATGCTTCCTGCTAATTTCTAGTAGTGCCTTAATAACCTGACAGTAGGAAGTAACATTAAAACCAACATGAAAATCATAACTGATACGATAGAGAAGAAATATTAATTGCCTTTGTAGATTAAGGCATATTTGATACAAACTAGACATATAAGGTCATAAACAGCCTTACGTCTGGTATTATAGGAGAGGTTTCCAATAATCACTACTAAGAACAAACTCACTGTTGAATATTCTCAATGATTACAGCCTTGATATACAAAATTACAAAATATCTCACCCTTATGTCAAGGCCATTTATCCGGTTTCTCAAGATTTTGCCTCTATCACAGACAAAATAAAGCAAACAGCTAAGAGCAGAAGCCCAGACAGATTCTTCGTTCTCTTCTATCTGCAAGAAAGGAAAGAGAGAACTAGATGGTAAAGAATGATGACAATAAGTTCCACGATATAAGAAGATAAAACATAAGAAAGGAAAATAGTATAGTTAAAATGTGTTCTAGGATTTGTTTCAGCGTCAAGAAACTACAGCATTTTCAAAGATAAGGCGAAGGATTCTCATTGGAAGAGGAGCAGAAGTCTGCCATCAGTATGGCTTCTTTGTCTAAAGGGTGGGAGATATGTTTTAATTCTGTCATTTCAACTATAACTTTTTTCGTTTTAGTTGGAAACTTATTTTAGATGGACAACTGGTACGTCTTTCTTTGTATCATTTTCAACTATAAATTAACAGCACTAGTTTGTAGCTTGTTTCATGTAACCTTTTCCCTTGGCCAATTTTTCTATGTAACCTAAAACCGAAAAGTTCCGTGCATCCAAGATGGCAGTGCTATATCAAATATGACAGAGCTAATATACCTGAACAAGAAGAAGCAATATCTCATATAAAATATTTAAAATCCAAGATTCAAAATTATGAATAGCTGAGGAAGTGCCCATCAGAACAGAATCTGATCTTCTCATGCCTTGTGTTGCAAGCTTAGCTTCACTGTCAAAATATGAGTCTTGAGAATACTCTTCTTCAATCGTGGAAGCGTTATCGGTCACCATTGGCTCTAATAAATGAGCATGAACTCCAAGGTTCAAAATCAAATCAAAAGCACGAACCCTACATGTTGTTCTTGGAGAATTAAGCATTTCCTGAAAGATTAATTAATAAAACATTGTAAGATAATGAACGAAGAAACAAGGGGGAAAAAAGAGAACTGCATATTCTAATCATCAAAAATTATAATGTAGTTCACCATCACCTCGAGCATAGACAGAGTGAGAGGTGCAGCAGTTCCAGAATCCAAAACATACCTACAAAAAGAGATTTTCAAAACACAATGAGGCAGAAAACGGGAATTAGTTTTGTGTGTGTGTGTGTGTGTGTGTGTGTGTGTGTGTGAGAGAGAGAGAGAGAGAGAGAGAGAGAGAGCATACAGAATAAACATATGGCATCAAGAATGAACTGTAATAATACTTGCCAAATGCATAGAAAACATACATGTCAATAACAAGTTTGATAAGGACGCTCACTGCAGCATCCATCGACGGCTTTCCATAGTTATTATTTAATCTAGATGATCCTGTCATCACATTAGCATTCTGCGAAGATGACTCAGAGCAAACTGCAGCAATGACCTCACAAACCTCAGCAGGATTCAACCGCAACGGTTGTTGTTCACTAATCCACAACCAAAATATGGTGAGCAAGAGATGCAGAAAGAGAGAGTAACAAATAACACTAAAAATTTGAATTTCCAGTTTATAAACATAAGTGGAAACTACTACAACTATGAATTTAACAACTAAGTTGCCCTCTGTTCTAACACATCAAGAAATTAACAAATGAAAGGGACGTTTAAAACCAAAACCCTCACACCCACAATCAGAAGTGGACCAAGGTATAAAGAATACAATGAATCATAATCAACAAAGTTTATTATTTGTTACCTATAGTGACGATACTGGAATAGCGGCTTAGCCCGTGGACGAAATGTGCTTGCCGGAGAATCATCCCTGAAATTTTGATGTGCAATGTTCAAAATAGAACTTGGTCAAACTTTACTATCGTATCAAAGTTATAGTTGCAGAGGTTAAGACTAGTGAGTGAAGGTTTAAAAAAAATATATGCCACAGAAAACAGGGATTAACAAGAGATTAGCTTCAATGTAAATCACCTGGTGGTAAAAGAAATATATCCAAACAGTGGTGATAAAGAAATATCTTTAAATAAAAAATTGGTCACAGGACTATCTTTAAATTTCATGCTTATGTCCTGTTGTAGTTTCTCAGAAATACGTGCAACAAAATTAAAGAAACCAAATTTCCACACAATTTTTTCAAATGCTGTAACAAAGTTCACCACAATTTCATGAAAATGATACAGGAGGGAAGAGCATACCATATTTGACGAGGGCCGGATTTAGTGCGCTTAGATGCTGTTATTGCTCTCAAGTGGGAACGCGCAGCGGCAGAATCAGTAATTGTTGTTACTGGTGAAGGTTGCAACAGTTGATCCAGATAAGGCATACCAGCAGTTCCAAAATACTTCCAAGCTTGACCTTTCATTTTAGCATCCTTATCTCCAACAAGTAGAGCTGCTGCACCTACTTCTAGTAGATTATGTGTTCTCATGTCTTGGTGATTTACAATACGATCACTTGATAGTGGAGCATGTCAAGTACTCAAGTCAGTTAATTAACCAATAGAAGAAACATGGCATAATGATCAAATAAAATGTAAACTGACCAATAAGAAGGCACACACAAGTATCTGTGATTACCTGTCAGTCGCCAAGAATGATGACTGCTGTTCCCCAAGCCAACGCCACTTGAGAACGTCAAGTGCAAAGTATTCAAGATCTCCCATTCCATCAACCTTTTCAATGTTTGATAAGTTCAAAATAGACATAGTTGTGACATCTTTATTCTCCAAAGGTTCACTATGTGCAGGGCTTAGTTGCGCATTAAAGGATCTACTCAACAAAGAAGACAAACTCGGAAGAGACTGTCTAGTTGTAGAGAGGGCTCCAGAGAAAGCAGCCGGATGGAATGACCGCCTTGGAAGATGTTGAGACACTAGAGAGCGCACATAGTTCAATGACTTCACAAGCGCCCCAGAAGCAAAACTAGGTACAGACAAAGGAACAATATTTGTAGATGTTGTTGATGCTGTTGATGTTGTGGATGCAAATGATTGTGACCATGGAGACAATCTCCGGTTTGGACCAATGTCGCATTCAGCAATGGTGTTTACACAAAACCGATCTATCTGCAGTAATGTCTCTTCACTAGGTTTGTACCTATGGAGAGTATAAGAAATTATAGTCCTATAAATCAAAATTGTAAGAAATTATTCTCGTACGAAAAATGTTTCTCCCCCATTCCATGCACATAGAATGTGCATCCAGTGAAAGGGCCTACTGATGACAATTTGTGGGTAACTTTAAAGACAACAGAAGATATATTCACATCAGTGTCAACATAGCAGGTGTCAACCCCCTGGTGTTTATAATTAACTGCAATGCAGTAAATGGAGCGGAAGAAAGAAAATTTAGATAAATCAGAGGCTTGTGAGATTGATGTGATGGGGAAGGGATGGCTATATTTATGGGAGCGAACTATCATTCTTACACTATATTTTACTATCAATATTTTCTCCAACATCCTACAAAAGGACTGCACTGGGGAAGGAGATAATGTAGGGAACAAATTTATAAGGACTGCACTTAAACAATAATAAGCTACAGAATCAGGAGCCAGGACATCACCAATGAACAGAAAGAAACCACGACAGAAAACCAGCATATCAGTCCCTACACGTGTATTCACCACGGACACCCTTCTAAATGTAAGAAATTACAATTACGACCATGAAAGGAATATGAACGGATAGAATACAGCAAAGTCTATTTTCAAGCAAAGAAAAAGATAATTCAATGACATCACAATATGCACCGGATGCAATTAATAGAAATGAGCACAGCAGCGATATAAACAATAATTCATACATCAAGTTATCAGAATCATTAAAGGTCTCAGGGTTTTGAAGAACCTACCTTAAAAGGTAACGTTTCAAAAGTGCCACGCACCTTGCAACAACTGCTGGGCTGGCATAAATAAAAGCAACATCAGGAAAAAGGATCGGCACCCATATAAGAGAAAATTATAATGATTGGCAAGCAGGTGCAAATGGTGACAATACACATGCATATATAATAACACAAAATACACACACACACATATTGGTGAATGTATCTAAAACGTTAACCAGTGTACCACTGTGCTTCTAATCTCAATATTATTACTTCTATGTATTAATCGAATAGTTATTATAACTCTATCCCATACATATCTATCATCACCTTTTTTTATTTGTTTGATTGCAAACTCCTTTCTTTATTGTATTCCATATGCATATTTATTTACCATTACCTAAAATCCATAAATTTTTACCCCTCACCTTCTCTTCTAGGGTTTGTCATATCAATACCTATTATATTAGCCACTTACTTTTTTTTACACAAAGCTCTGGTGAGTATCAAAAATATTATTTCTATACACAACTTACTTGCAGTTATTATGGTTTGCCGTTACAGGTATTCCCAAATTTACCCTTTCATGACTTTTGATAAATAGGTTACTGGAAATATATGTTTATGGCCTATTCAATCTTGTGATGCAGATCCAGGAAGTACACAACCAAAGCTGGTTTTTTGGTTTCCTTTAAAGAATCACCAAAGCTGGGTTTTTTATCCGAAATAGAATCGCCAGAGCTGGTTTGGACACCAATTATTCCTGGACTATGTGAAGTATTAGTTTTTTTCTTTTGTTTCCCTAAACTAAACCCTTAAATAGAGGTTTGAACCTAGTATCTCTACCCTCCGCCCAACCATCAAATCTGACTTGAGTTAAGGCTCATGGGCAAGTATTTAAGTTAAATCAAGGAAAAGAAAACCTACGAGAGTTACCTGCGCTCCCTCTCAGCAATGGTATGTTCTAAAATCACATTGTAAGACAAGTCCATCGTCGAAGGGGCTGCCAGATAGTCCTGCCAAGCATAATAGTTTAACTTGTGAAATGTGAAATTGAATCTAATGCAAGTTCGTCAAATAAGAGGATAGCAATGCACTACAACAACAAAAAATCTCAATCATACGTCAGATACACTCAAGCGTGGTAGCTGAATAATTGCAACCATCCAGAAGAGGAATAAAGGTGGGATATAATTACACAAGGAATAGACTTTCCTCTTCAAGGAACTTATGTTCTACACGTGTTAACTCTACTTCAAGCCAAGACAGCCAGAGAAATCTAAACGCACTCCATAGCCAATAAATTTGAAAACCAGCAATAAAATACTTTCTCCAAATATGTATAATTAAACATAGAACCACTCAGATGAGCAACTGTTTTGAACGCCAACTAAGAAACTAATTTATTGTAATTGTCAGATTTATTCAGCCACTTGTAAATTTGTATAAAGAGCTTATATCACCTTGCATATAACTGTTCTAAGCCATTAGATTGTTTGGTGCTCACTGTTGCTCACCTGAGCAGGACTGTAATTAAAGAAGCATTTTTCAAATTTTGAAATTAAATATAATGAAGTAATCCAAGCAAGGACTTTTTAATTTAAAAACCAATCACATGAGTAGGGAAACCACATTAAATACTCCCTCCAATACAAACTCAAAAAGGACACACACACACACACTAAGAATAACCATTTTCAGCACTCGTGCTCTGTTTGTTGCTAAGAAAATGTAGCAAGCTAAAACCATCCTTGCATTTCATCTTCAATGTGTATAAGTTTGCACTACCTAAAGACAAAACCTTACTCTCACTAAACCAAACACATCCATTGGGCTACCATTCAGCTTAATTGTCTATCTTAAAGCCATAAAACTCAGTAATCACTTTCTTTCTTTACTTCTTTTATTTCCTAGTGTTCTTCTCAGCAACCAAACAGAGTTCAAATCTCAAATTCATTCAAAATCCATCATTTTAAAGACAAATCACACACACACAAGCTGAAAGACCTAAATTCCTCAGCCGAAACCGGCATTTCAAAGATCCAAACCAAGACCGAGCAAAATCACAACCCAAAATTGTACGAACCCGAAGAATTCTAGAAGCTTCGGAGAGGAGCACAGTGGAGGAAGTGCTGGCATGGTGGGAGCTAGCCGCGGAGGACGATAGGCAATCGGCTACAGCTCGGCGCAGCGGCTCAGGGGGCTTCTTCAGCGACGAAGATCTCAACCTGGCGACTCCTCCACCTCCACCACCCAACTGAAGCCTCGAACTCCCGGGGCTCCGAGCCGGACTGTTATAGCCCGAAGACATGGGTGCTCGGGTCGTCGGGTGCCACCGAATCTCTCTCTCTCTGATAAATCTCACTCCCTCTTCTGCGTTGGCAGATTGTAAGGTGGAAGAGAAGAAAGCCTTCGTTCTTGTTTCTCTCTGCGAGCTCAACTCTACATTTGAGCAATCGAAAATAATAATAAAAACTGCGTTGTGCTTGAAATGAAACCAAGTCTGCGAAAGAGAGACAGAGATTGGGAAAATGATTTTTTTTTTGGAGATTCTTAAATTGCGGTCTAATGGTGGTGATTAGCTGGAGGAATTGGCGTAGTTTTATGAGGGTGATTAGCTGGCATGCGCTAGAATTTGTCACTTTTATGTGGGTAAAGGGACATTTGGGAATAAAATGGGGGGGCTGAGTGGGAAGTGAGACTGTGATTTTTCAAGTGTTTTTTTGGAATTTTTTTTTTTTAACAAATCAATATGATGTATGAAGAAGAGGATTGAACTTGAATGCAAGAAAACTGGCACACTGTCTTGACTAACAGGCTTAATTCTTTTTTTCTTTCTTATTAGGTCCTAAGACTTGAGTGCAATATGATGTCTTTTATGGTAAGTTTGGAATATATATATATATATTTTAGGGGGTAATGTTGGGGGGTAAATATCCAGAAAAACTTATATGAAACAGGAATAGCACTGTTTTGCGACCAATCACAGAATGACATGTGAAAAAGTAATTACGCATCACATATCGTGATTGGCAGGAGATAGTAAAATAATGTTATATCTGTTTTATGCAAGTGTTTTTCGTAAACACCCCGTAATAAAAGAATCTAGATTTGATTTTGATGGTACTTGACTGCTGGAATTTCCCATATAGAAATACATGGTTATATTTTTTGTGACTTCCTTATTAGATATGGGTTTCTAAATTTGGAATGCATTCCAAAAAACATCACGTCCATCCCGACTAATTCAAATTTTTAGTATGCAAGTAAAATATAGTAAATGACTTCAATTAAGGAAACAGATAGTGCCACCACTAAGAGGAGTGGGAAATTGCATACAATGCATGTTCTTCAAATCCTTAAAGAAAGTTTTGATTTTCCAAGTTTAGGTAAACCTCTAGGGAGATTACTTCTCTGTCCGATGAGCCTGTCCCTTTGGATGCTAGTTTGCTTTTTGTCTTTCATCTTTGTTGTATGTTATTTGTTTTCCTGCCATGATGTTGTTTTGCTTTGCGTGGTCAGTTGTTGATTTCTCGTTAATTAAATAAGTTTAACGGTCAAAACAAAAGAGTCGGATGTTATTATTAGTATTTATTTTTCAAGACATACGAGTAGGAACTCGATTTTGTTAATAAAGTATGGATTGGGACTTTCAATTTATAATTCGATTATGATTTGAATTCGCTAACTCGTTAACTTAACAAATCAAATACCTTTAGACTAGCAGAAATGGTCTTGACTCACAGATCAATAGCCTCATGTTTGAATTCCTTGTGAGAAAATCCTCCTCTCCAATATCGTTTGTATTAAAAAATATATATATTAAAATAAAGTATATTCGACTGGATAACCATCTTTTTATATATATTTTTATAAATATTACAAGAACCTTTTTTGTTTGGGAGGTCAACATAGAACGACTTCAACACATAAATTGTAAGACAAAAGTAGAAAACTGAGCATGTTGGGCCAAGCAGACCAGCCCAGATTTAATAAATTCACCTACTCCACGACCCGTATTGGCCCAAAATGTCCAATATCCCCACCCGACTCGACCCATTAGCTACAGTTTCGATCTCATGCCGGTACCGTTATCCCTTCGGATCTCATCTAAAACCTCAGACAACAAGTCCTTGCGAATCTGAGCGTACACGTGTCCATTCCACTTCCGCCCAACTAACTCCTCCCCCAATCTCACCGCGGCCTCAACCGTCTTCTCCGCGCTATCGTGCGCCGAGTCGATGATCCCCTTCTTCACTGCCACGTCAGCCGTCACCTTATCGCCTCTGAGCAACAGGTCGCGCCGAGCCCTCGGCGAGCCGACCTTGCTCTCGATCAGAGCCAAGAACCAAGCCGGCAAAATGAGCTCGATGTCGAGCTCGCTCATGTAGATGAAGCCGCGGTCTCGCCTCATGAGGAGGTGGTCGTGGCTGAGAGCGAGGATGAACCCGGCGGCGGAGGCGTGGCCTGATACGGCGGCGATGGTGGGCACGGGGAGTGAGATGAAGTCGGAGACGAGGGACCGGAGCTTGGCGTCCATGAGGTACCTCCGGGATTGGGAGGACTGGGCCCAGGAGAGATCGTAGCCGTTGGAGAAGAACTTGCCATGTGCGGTGGTGATTAAGGCTGCCGGTGACGACGATGCGGAGGTGGTGGTCACGGCGGCCCGGACTTGGGTTAGTGCGGATTGGATTGAGTCGATGAGAGTGGGGTTGAGCCTGTGCTCGCCTAGGCCTGTTAGCGTTAGGATGAAGATGTTGCCTTTTCTCTCTAACGTGCACATCTCTCTCTCTCTCTCTCTCTCCCCTTCCTCTCGCTCTCTCAGAAAATGCTTGTATTGTGGTGTTTGAAATCTCAAAGGTCGATGGAATATAATATATAAAGTTGCGGACTTGTATATTGCAGTCTTTGAAAATGGTTGCATCTCTTCGTAGCATAGACTGGTCAATTGAAGCTGCAGTTGAGAGCGACTTTTTAAAAAAAAATATACCAAGAGGTGACCCGAAGGGTGGGATTAATCTCCTATCGGGGTTCGGCAAGTATTTTTAACGGGTTTCAAACCCCTACCATTAAGGCACGGAGTAACTCACCAGCTGAAAATAGCAATTTGCTAACCGCACCACACCTAGTGGTTAATTGAGAGCGACTTTAAACTAGTCTTTTACTTTTCTTTCTGTCATGAAAATATGATGAAATTTTCATTCAAAAGCACAAGCAACAGCCCAGCAACTTATGTTGAAGGCCAAATTTCCAACTCTAATGGCCAAGACTAACACTACTGTAGAGTCTCAGATTGGTTCAGAAAATCATCTCACACATTATATCATATGATGGATTTTGAAGGATGAGATTTAGAATAGATAGATCCATAATTTCTGTAGCACAACTTGAGAAGCAAATCCAACAAATGAGACCTCTACCCATTAGGTGGTCAATACTTACGTATGCCACGACGACTGCATATCAAGGCAGAAGAAGGGCACTCATAAGCTTGGTGACCCCTCCCACCACAGTTGTTGCAGATGACAATGGATACGCACTCTCGGATGGCATGGCCTGGCAGCCCACAATTACGGCACATAATGTCACGGAAAGGGCCTCCGATGTCTGGTGCCCGGCTTGACTTGGCGCACTGGCGGGCCATGTGACCTGCTATGTTGCAGGTGTGACAAACAGGTTCGTTGGGGCAGTTGCGAGCAAGATGACCAGGTTTACGACAATTGTTGCAAGCCTTCTCATTTGTGCAATCCACTGCAATATGACCTGGCCTGTAACAGTTGTTGCAGAGTCTTGCATCATGGGCTGGAAGACTAGGGTTCGCACAATCCCGAGCCAGGTGCCCTATCTTACCACACATATGACAGACTGGATCATTTGAGCATTGGCTTGCAAGATGTCCAGGCTCCTTACAGTTCCAGCACAAAGTTATTGAGTTGCATTCAGCAGCAAGGTGGCTGATACAATATATAGGACTTGAATATCAAAAACACTTACCGCAAAAAAAAAGACAGAACTATCAGTAATTGGTTATCAGGAATTGCGGTTCTCCATGCTTACCTATTTTCTACAATTCTAAACCTTATATGAAAAATGAAAGGTTTGGCAGAAATTAAACATTCTCACCCAGGAAGTCCACAGTTGTTGCAGACAGTCATATTCGAACAATCCCTGGCAAAATGCCCTGGCCGTTTACATTTATTGCAAAGATAATCTTGCCTGGACAACAACAGAATAATCAATTGTGATATGAAACTAAAGATGAAGTAGCAATAGACTATCTCAGTTTTAACAAAATTATGGAGTTCAAATATCAAGAAATCAAAGTTCGGGTGCGATATATGAAAACTGTGATTCGTTAGCAATCAAATTTTTATCATAAGAGCATTAAGAGAACACATACTCAAAAATTAAGCACACTAAAAACAAGATATTAGAACACTAAATGAGACAGGATACCGATGACTGCGGCGCTCTCTAGGATATGGGGCATCACGGTAAGATGCGCGTTCACTGCTGCGGAACCTCTTCCCTCGTTCTGGGCTTCGGCTTCTATTCAGACTCATGTTAGAGATCACCAAGTAAACCTTCAAGGAAATATCTTAACAATATCTTTTTCTAGGAAGAAAAGAATCCAAAACAAGCCCCAGCTCCCGAAAGCAGCAACCCCCTGCACAACGAATCTCCAAACTGCTAATACAACCACAAAAACTAACTACATGAAACCAGGACCATTCACAATCATTCCAATTTGGATTCTAACAAAAGTCTAAGTTCTGACCAACAGGGTTTATACTCAAACTAACAAGCGTATGAATCTCAACCTTAAAACTTCATTTTACAATATACCCACACCTTCAAATTCGAAAGTTTACCTGAACCCATAAAAATAAAAAAAATAAAAATAAAACTCTAATCACAGCACTATAAAAGGAGCTCTTTGTTTTCTTAATTTCATCTCTGTCTGCTGTATTCCCAAGAACAAAAAGGAAGAGAAAACAAAGCATACTCTTAAATTCACTGGCAGAGCGATTTATTCAAAACTCAAAACCAAATACACAAACACATGCAATATGTGTCTAAGGGAAGAGTAAGTACCTTAGTTCATGTTTAAGGGAAACCCTAGAGTAAAGGAATTGGGGATTTGGAAGCGGAGAGCAGCGCATTTATTTCTTCATTTCTCGACGAGGATGAGCGTGATTTGTACGACGGCACAGTTTACCTCCATGTGTACGTGTGTCGTAAGGCTGTGTTTGGAGTTGGTGTTTGCATATTGCCACCTTTCCAAAGGCCAATAAATGTTATTTTCAAGTTTAAAATTATTTCATTGAATAGGCATGAAGTTTATTTCAACTCTCAAAATTTTATTGTAGAAAAAAACCAACTTTTATAGCCATCAAATAAATAATGTTACTCATTTATCTTCTTTTTTTTTTTCTTCTTAAAATAAACTTAAAGAGCAAATAACTTCTTCCCATTCTCCTTGCCTGCTGAATTTTTTAATTTTTTGCAAAGCTATGGGATAAAATAAGAAATTGAAAAGAAAATATAAAATATGAAAAACCCGGAAATTTTTTTGCAATTGGGTTGGGTGTGGTGAGTAGAAACATGGAGGATGAAAGACCCAAACAAATAGTTTGGGCCTAGCGAACCCAACTAAATCATTCAGCAAAGAACCCCTTACGTACAGTATGAACCATAACCACCAAATCAGCAGAAATCCTGACCCAACATCGTTGATGAAATAATACAATAACCCCAATTATAACGATTTCTAGTATAATCAGAAAAGATTAAGCACAAGCAAATCATCATTTTCAGATGAACACATCTCAGGATACAAAGAAGACAGAAAATACATTTCCATTCGATATAAGCAGAAGATGAAAATACAACATACACATATGTTCCAAACTTGAACAAAACAGAAGTACTTATGCAGGACGGCAAGCCTTGCGGCAAAAGCTACAAACATAGTTCTGCAGTCTCACAGAAGTGTCCTAGTACACAACTGTGAACTTCATCCTAAAATAGCCAGTAGAGACTCTACACTCCTCTAGTGCAGATAACTATAACTATTTTTATGGAACTGCTGTACAGCACACTCACTAGATGGGAAGACTGCAATCCTCAAAAGGGGAGAAAATTAACAGTTCACCACCCCATCAAGGTTCTTCTAACTTTCTCTACAATCTTACCTCTAGCTTGTTTGCTTGCCAACGGAAATTCACGACTATCATCCAGAAGAAATCTGTAGACTTCCCACTGGCAATCTAAAGTTGAATGCCTTACAATTTCAGCCTACACATCAGCAATGAAATAATGAGATGAAGAAAGGGGGCATGGCACAAAATGACAGGAAACTCAGAACAAATTCTTACCGCGAAAATAGATACTCTCAATTTTTTTAGTGCTAGTGTAACATCATAGAACACAAGGGGCCTCCCCTTTCCACATAACTCAACTGGATTAGCAACTAGGAGTTCAATATCTGGGCCCCTGTTGGCAATGATCACTCGCAATGGGTGAACCATCTCCTCCTTTAAACGAGAACACAACGCAACCTGACTTTCAGGATCCCCAATCTTTTTTCCATCTGTTTGCTGAATAAATAGGTCCAAATTTCGGAAGCCTTTCTTAGTTGAAGAGAATCTACCATAAGCGATCTAAATGAGAAACAACAAAGACTTATATCAGTAAATTTCTAAATTGCAAACATATATAAGTATTCTAACACAAAAGACACATTCAATAGGGGTAGTTATGACCACTGAAAAGCAAAACTGAAGATTCTTTTTATTAAACATCTACAGGTGCAAGCACCAAAGAATGGTACTTAGTAACTATATTCCAACACATCATGAAAAAGTACCTGAATATTGCAATCCTTGGAAGTCCTCAGAATGTCATAAAAGAGGCACTTTTGATCAACACATTGTATTTGCAGCACCGTATGAACAGGGCTCAATGAGTTATCCACTGTAATACTAGCCTTTTTGACCGCTCCCATATTTGAGCTGAGAGCTTTTGGATAGGCTTCCTCATCCTTCAGCTGATAGCTAAATAATTCTTCAGCAATGGCTGGTGGAAGAGAAGAATTCCCCTGCAGACTTTCATACTCAGGCCCTGGCAACTTAAGCTCACAGGTGATACAATACTCTCCTGAAGCAGCCATCAGATGCTCACATATGTTATCTCTCCTCTGTTTTGTGTGTAACAAGTCCCTGAAATTATGTGGCACCAAATAATGGGGGTCAATAACTGTTGCAAAGTATAACCAACATTTCTGAGCAATTACTACTTCATCAAATTATGTACTTTCAGAAACTACCCTTATGAAGCAATTGTTGGGACAACGAATTCTCATTAAACATGAAAGAATTCCCAAGTTTGGTTAGAATAAATATCCAAAAATCAAAATACTACCAGAAGAAATGCAAGGCACTAATAAGCCAGAATACATATGTAGTTGTCCCAGCAAAAAGGGTGGAGGAGTTAAAAACTATAACCTGATCAGACAATTCATCTTATGTATTTCCAAGCTAATGCATTTGTTTAAAACTGTGGGAATAACTGACTCAAAAGGGTCACAGCCAACAGGAAGATCTTAAGACTCGCATCTAATCTTAATGTCTTAAAGAGTTATTCGCAATCCATACAACTATTAAACAGCAAACACCGGCACCTTAATGTCAAGCATGCTTGGAACACAAACAAATACGAGAATTGAAGTAAAGGTCGATAGTTCCTGATTACTATGGTTGCCAAAATTAATAACTACAATACTGATATGCAATTTTCTGAAGGTGCAAATCCTTGCATAGGAAAACTCACAAGCAATCTGTGATGAAAAAGAGGTCCAAAACTCTGCCATCTGGGGTCGGCATCACTTTGACTCTTTGAATCAGAATTTCAAGCTCACAGAGGATTTTGGTAACATCTACATGTACACAAAACAACAATAACTTCTTCATTACTCAAACATATAAATGCATAAAAATTTAAAGAAAATAAAAACTATAAAAAAAAAACCCGAGAACAAGTAATGAGAAAGTTGTGATCTTCACCATGCAGTGAGCCTCTCTGGTCATGGCACCAAAACTTCAACAGATAGACTGGAGGAGGTGTGGGGACATTAGAGACTTGATTGAGATAAAAAGAGAAGAAACATGAAGGTGGGCACGCAGAGGAAAGCCGATCCTTCAAGCGCTCCCAATCAACCTTGAGCGAGCTGTGATGGGGAACAACCCACAACACTATATAACACCATCTTCCATCCGTCGAAAAATCTACACCACACAAAAACCAAAATCTAAAATGACAAACCCAACCATGAAATTTCCAAAAAACCAGGTGAGAAAATGAGAGATCGAATTATCAATTACCTCCCTTCGTAATGCAAAGGCCAAACTGGAGGATGATTCTGCAGAGGTCGCAGCCGAGGCCGGCCTTGTCGGGACAATTGACCGTGACGACGGAGGGCTCGCTGGGAGTATTGCCCTCCTTGATCACAACGACGTCGTCGCACGGAATGCCCATCGCCCAATCCGGGTAATTACGGATATACCACCATAAATCGTTGGGCTTTGGGAGATGGCATAGAGAGAGAAGAGGAAGGTTGTGGCGTTCCCAGCCGACTTCGGTGGGTTTACAGTGTTAAGATTGAACTCTCGACAACGATGGGTTTGGGTTCTGTCGGCTTAGTAGCGGGACCCACAAAAATGATTATGCCACGTCAGAAAAGTTTAGCGGTCCAGAAATTTCCGGGCCCACAATAACAGCATTTGTTTTTTTTTGCCGGTAAGTTAAAAAAAAATTAGAGTCGGTAAATAAAATTTAAAAAAACAAAATGATGGCGATGGCGATTGAATCGGACGTCACAACAACTCAGTGCTACTGGCAAAGTGCAAACAAAGAAAAGATACTTCGATTTCGAATCATAGCGAAAAATTACAACGCGGAACCTGGACCGTTCAAAATTCGATCCCTGAATTTACAAAATTAACCCCCGAATCCGTACAAGGTCCTGCCCTGCCTCTTGAGCGCGTAGACTACGTCCATGGCGGTCACCGTCTTCCTCCGAGCGTGCTCCGTGTAGGTCACGGCGTCGCGAATCACGTTCTCCAAGAAGATCTTGAGAACACCCCTGGTCTCTTCGTATATGAGGCCGCTGATTCTCTTCACGCCTCCTCTTCTGGCGAGCCTTCGAATCGCAGGCTTAGTGATGCCCTGGATGTTGTCTCTAAGGACCTTACGGTGCCGTTTGGCGCCGCCCTTGCCCAGGCCCTTGCCTCCCTTTCCACGGCCAGACATCTTCGAAGCTTACGGGGTCGTTTTGCAGATGGAGTTATTGAGAATGTGAGATGATCGTGCGGTGAGGTAATGGGATGAGTGGGAGGAGTTTATTTATAGCGGGGACGGGTGAAGGCGTTGATCCTTGGGTTTGGGTTTGGGTGATTTTGAGACGTCGATAAAGTGGGATCGATGGTGGGTATTGTTTGGGAATACGCGTGGCGTGGATCGTGGTTTTGTTTTGTGGCGGGATATGAAACTTTGTTGGGGGTGTAAAGATTTCGGAAATTTAAACTGGGAATTTTGATATTTACAATTCGAATAAAAAGGGGATTTCCCGCTATTTCAAAGTACCGTTTTTTCCTGCCAAATAAAATGGCGGGTGGCATGCTTTTTCATTTCCTGCCCTTTTCTGGGTGATGGATTTTAAAATTTTAAATTTTTTTAAAAAAGACGTTCATCAGTCATACAATAGTTAAAAATTTGAAATGAATAGGTTACAATGTAATGTAGAATTATAAATTAATCGGGACTCAAGTACAAGGCAATTGATGTGCTTCAAATAAACTCATGTCGTGTTTATTAATTCGTAAGTGGAATTAAAATCATGAATTGAACTCCGATTCTTGCGTTTACTTCACATCAAATTCAGAAGTAAGTGGGCCTCACATTTTGACTTTCGGGTGGGAGGTGGTATTAGAATACTCGATAACTAACCCATCTAGAATTCATTTTTCTACCCATTATACCCTCACACACTTTTCAAAATTCCAAATTTACCACTCACTTTAATTATCCAACAAAACCTACGACGTTCTATCATGGTAATGAAGAATTTATGCATTGCAAATGTTATTATTTCGGGCAAACATGTTGAATGAATGGAAATACTTTTGGGGTTAGTCGAGGTGGTGAGGGAGGGATAATGAGTTGAATGAATGGAAAAACTTGCAGGTTAGCCGAAATGGTGAACGGAAAAATAATATTGAATGAAGCAGTTCAAAAACAGTCGTATTGACCTTGCATATATATATATATATATATAATGCTTTGAATTGCTATGTGAAAGTCAATAGTAATAAGCACACCTTGATACGTGGTTAATATTCCTTAGTATTGTCATGCATGTAGCTACATCTTTGTTGATGGTTTCTTTAATGAGACCTAGCAATAAAGTCCTACAGAGAAGAAATGCAACGCCATCAAGAGAATTAACACCCCCCGTTTAGCAGCAAGCATCAGAATTTGAAACATGTAGTACCTTTTTTTATAATAAATAATATAGCCGGGCGGCTATACTCGGGGTTCTTTTAATAAAATCGTCTAGCCGCACGGCTATACGACGGTTTTTATTTCAAAACTTGTACAGCCGTGCGGCTATACTATTTTTGACACGTAGCTAAGGCCGATCCCCTTTTTAAAAAATAAATAGTATAGCCGGGCAGCTATACACGGTTTTTTTTTTATAATAATAGTATAGCTGGACGGCTGTACTATTTTTACACATGGCAAAATGGCCGATAGCGCCAGGTGGGTTTTTTGTAAAAATAAATAGTATAGCCGCGCGGCTATACTATTGTTATTAATACCACCACTACTGCAAAACCGTCATTAAATCGACCGTCATTTTTTTAAATGTCAAACTACGACAGTATACCGTTTTTATTAAAAATGGGTTATTCGTAGCAATGATCCATCAACTATACTCGAAGTTACATTTTGGTCACTCAACTTAAATATTAGTTGCATAGGTCACTCAATTGGGTGTTGTGTTGCACCATTAGTCCCTATTGTCAAGTCTGTGACTTTTTCTATTTAAAACGATGACGTGACAAGCATCTCTTAGATTATTGATGGGCAAATGTGACTTTTCAATTAGGATTATTTGTAGCTAGGCCTCATCATTTGGCCCGCGGGCTCATGGGCCTACAGGGGCCCGCCCGGCCTATTGAAAAAAAGCCCGGCCCGACCCATTATGGGCTTTGAGAGGGCCCAGCCCGCTTGGGCTTGGGCTTGGGTGTTTGAAGCCCGACCCGGCTCATAGGCCCGGCCTGATTAAGCCCATGAAAGCCCGGCCCGGCCCGCCCACAAAAGCCCCGCCCGTTAGGCCCGCATACATATATAATTATATATAAATAAGGGTTTAGGATTAGGATTACATCACTTGAATGACAAATCCCCATCTTTATTTTTTTTTTTTTTTTTGTTACTTGTTATAAAAATTGTGTTTGTTTCCATTGAATTCTACTCATTCATAGTTTATAATTGGATGATTAGTACAACAATTATATATATATATATATATAATAAGACAAACAACATATCATATCACCAAACATAATCATACCACCAAATATAATCATACTTTTCTTTAACACATCACCAAACATTTGCATATTTATTCATACCATCCTTATAAATTTTTTTATTCTTTATTTTTTTATTTTTACACTTATTATTTTTTAGGCCCATTTTGGCCCGTCCCATTGGGATTAGCCCGGCCCGGCCCGATGGGCTTTTTCAAGCCTGGCTCATGAGATGGGCTTGGGCTTTGAATTTTCTAAAAAAGCTCGGCCCGACCCGGCCCGATATTTTCTCTGTCCTCTTTAAAGCCCGGCCCAAGCCCATCATTACATTTGGGCTGGGCTAGCTCGGCCCGGCCCATTGACGAGCCCTATTTGTAGCAATGATCCCTCAACTATACTCGGAGTTACATTTTGGTCACTCAACTCCAAAAAATAGTTACAGATGTCACTCAATTAGGTGTTGTGTTGCACCATTAGTCCCTACCGTTAGAGACTGACCAACACCCAATTGAGTGACCTCTACAACTAATATTTGAGTTGACTGACCAAAATGTAACTCCGAGTATAGTTGAGGGACCATTGCTACAAATTTTCCTATTAAAAATAATATAGCCGTTCGGCCAGGGTATTTGAATGCTAAATTGAGGCATAAGGGAATTTAGGATTTGGGGATGCCGCGGCAGAAGGGAGTTTTATTATGGCTGGTTTTGGGTATGAAATATATGCTGAAGGTTGGTATTTATTCAAGATATAAATTTGCTTTTCATTCATCCCTGAAGTGATGTATTTATATAACGTCCTAATCAATCTTGATAGGAACATAAAACTTATAACTGTCTTGTTATTTTGTTGAGAGAAAACAGGAAACTTATAATTGTTTTTTTTAAGGGAAACATGATGAAAACTTATAGTTGTTTTTGAATATGTGTATGGTATATATATGTACGACTTACTTTTCTAATTTAGTATTCTATTGAGTGAAAATTCTACGGTGGGCGTGGTGCATGGATGCGCCCACTGTTATAGACCATTGGATAAATAGTTGGGATCATAAAGAGTTTTTTCATTTTGTTGAAACATTACATGCTGAAAATGATAAACATAACCAGGTCATTGGTTCTGAGGTTTATTTTTACAGTTTCAAGTTTAATCCTAATATCTCTCAAGAATTTTATGAGGGGTATTTATATTTTGAAAGTGACGGCAAAGAAGTCTAGAATGTGGCGTTTGTAAAAGTTGTTGGAGAACATGCTGATGTGAAGGCATAAGAAGTATTTCATAGGACTTGTACAGCTATTGACGATATTGTTTTACGGCCGTGGATGTATTTGTTCTCCCAATAAAAGGACATTTCCGAATTGCCTCATGATACAGAGTTGAGGAAGAGAATATAGAGTCTACGTTATGATCACTTAGAACACAATCTTAAAGATTGGACGAAGCTGGTGAAGCCAAAGCCTAAGGGAATTGCTTATAATGATAAGCTTAAACTACCTATCAAGACTAGCGATGGTCGTCTTAACGACTATTAGCGTAATTCTATAAGGTAGTTGATTATGTTTTGTTAAAATTAGTTATAGTAGTTTTGTTTAGTTTTAATTGCATTTGACATAAATTCTTTGTATTGTTTGTAGTGAGTTGATTTCTGGTGTAGGTCGCATCCATTCTAAGAAGTTATATCATGGTAAGTTATGTTCGCGAAGTAACTATGTATTTATTAACGAATGTCCAAAGATAATCAATGTTGAGGGATCATTGGATGAGTTAAAAAGTGATGATGAACGATGTACGGAGAAGTAAAAAGATATTTTGGACATTTTATGGACGTTGGACCAAGTGTTCCAATCGTTAGGGGAGAACAAAAATAATTAGTTGGAATGTCGCCACTTCTTTGAGTTTGTCAAAGGTTCTAAGACTTTGAAATTGTGGTGAGTTCTCTATCTCTTTTATTTTATATTTTGAAAGTGACGGCAAAAAAGTCTAGAATGTGGCGTTTGTAAAAGTTGTTGGAGAACATGCTGATGTGAAGGCAAAAGAAGTATTTCATAGGACTCGTACAGCTATTGACCGTGTTGTTTTAC